AAAAAAATCTTTCTTAGGATGGCAGAAAATAACCCAAGGAATAGATGCCCACTTACTGTTCTTTGGACTAGTTTCTTGTTACTGCCTGTGCTGCATGTCACATTCAAAACACCATAGTCCATCAAGCACTTTCCCCCTCTGCCTCATGGAAATGTTGGGTCTGAGTTTGCTCGGGAATCACCTTCTTCAATGGCTGTGTCGCAGATTATCAGTCTCTCTCTTGCCCTTGCACCAAGAGAAATCCAGAGGGACTTGCTTCTTGCTCCTACTTGAACACAGATTAAAGAACGGATGATCTGTGTCCTTTCACTGCTCTATCCAAAAGAAATAACGCTCATAATAACAGTCCAGCTACCTCTCATATTTTTCAGAACAGTATTGTGCTCCAAGAACTGGACTTGCCCATGATTCAGAAGGCAGCCAACTTCAGACAGCAGACCGTTCAATCAGAATTGATTATATTTACATTTTACTGCAGATAAGAAAAACCTCCTTTTATGTAATCTCTCAGGAATAACTGAAGCATAAGGGGAAAAAAACAAATCAAAATAAAACAAAACACTGAAAGAGTGAAATCGGGTCATCCATACACTTCCACAGATTTACCCTTGAAAATCTACAGTTAAACCTACATTAAAAGAAAGTTTTCGATGCTGATATTTTTTGCTGTCACAGACATTCTGCTAAAAAAATATTTTAACAGAAAGTACAGATATTATTCCATGTCAGCTTCCTTAAGTATACCTAATAAAACATTTCCAAATATTTGAAATATTATTGTGGACCTCAACAGTGAAATGCATATGTAAGTGCTAATAGTGCTCACTCTGTCACAACTGGTAACCAGATGTGTTCAGAAAAATAAATCTACTAGCATTTCAACAGATGTATGCATGGAAGAACATCATAGCATTGTCAAGGCTGGAGGGAAAAAATAAAAAGTGAGGGGAAAAAATGGTTCAGACAAGAGAGGAAAGCAGGAGATATGAAGAAGAAAAATACAGAGGTTGAAAAAACAACCCCAACAAGAGAAAATACCTCCCTGCAAATGTACTCATGGCTATTGGCCTTCAGGCAATGTATTGATATTAAAATTAACCTCTACCAATACCTTTTTGTCCTCAAAGCAGTATTTTATCATTAATATACCTGCTGCAAATATTGTTTGATTTTTATAATCTGTTAACCTTTTCAAGAAAATACTGTCCTCTCTGGGTGGAATGAGTTGTAAATAAATTTTGTTACAGCTATCACAGTTTGTATACAGCTATCACAGTAATTCTACAATGAGAAAAACGTACACATCACCCCTATTGAGGTCTTACAAAGGCTAAGACAACTGTGCATTGGCTAGCAGTCCTGCTTACTTATCCCAGGTACCTAATCATCTTTTTACAGCAGCATCTTGTTGTTGGCTGGTATTTAGTTAACAGCCTATTATATTCAACCCCTTTACTACCATACAGCTTTCTGATGCTGAGTTTAGAAAAAAACAAAGCAAAGGACTGATGGCTGTGTCTCTGTGCTAGGGATGATGAAATAGCTCCTCTCACCTGTTGCCTAGGTTGCCTTGCAAAGGAAAGGATGACTGCATGTTCCAATGCTCCCAGGTAAAACAGGGATTTAGGATGACTATTTGTATACAAAATCAACCCTAGCCATCCAGAAGTATTTTAAAGGCTGAAAAATTATCCACAAATATTTTAAAGGCATTCATTTGCATGAAATGCGCAACTGGAGACAACAGTGAATGCAGCAGCTGTCAACAGTTACTGTCCACGGAGAATCACTTGTACAGCCCCCATAATTGCATAAGAGCGTTCAGGAAAAAGTGCTTAACCCTAAGCTTTTACAGAAGATACACTGTATGAACCTTCTATGAGTCATTCCAAGTACCAGAAAAGGTAAAGTGATGCCTCAGGAAAGAATCTCTTATCCAGCCCTGCACTCAGATCCTTCCTCCAGGCTGAAACATTCTGCTTCACTGCTGGCTGGACAAACCGTGCAAGATTTGGCATAGAACTGAACTAGCACCACCACCTCTTTGTTGTGAATAAAGTGAAACACCAGCCATGCACACGTAGTAAGGAGACATTGCTCCACTAATAGGTCAGAGTACCCACGTGTTTTTCCTGCCACTAGACGCCGAGTCTTTCACATTGACTACTGAAGTACTGTTCATTAAAAAAATTATAATCTACAGATAGCCACAATTACAAAAACTGCCTATCTCATTGTACAAACAACATTTTAAAGAAATTTAAAGGATCCCAGCACAATTTTTCCTAAGCATTTAAGTTGTTGTTGAGCAATTCACATTACCCAGCATCGCTTAAATGCCAGTTTTTAGTATCTATTACACCGAACTCCTTTTTAAAGTGTTTTGAAACCTTCAATTGTTTAACATGTGCTTCTGCTTTGTAAACACTTACTACAGTCTGAGTAATTTCTAAGTATTTCTGACAGCCAGAGCAGCAAAATATCTGTATCAATCTACATGCTTTTACAGACTGTCTGTAATCAAGAACCTATATTTAACTGCTGTTTAAAGCTTAGGCTGTCAAAAAGCATGAGCTCTCTGTGGTAGGCATGGGACACATATACAATGAATTACAACCCCTGCACAAATGCATTTAATTTATCTCAGTCACATATATTAGATAAATGATTTACTTCTTCTCACTTCCTCTCTCAGAAGCTATTCAAATTGTTCTACATATGCCATTGACAGAGCTGCTACATAATGTTACACTTAATTTGATGAGGTAAACAGTTGCACAGGACTACTCAAACAAATGCAGTTAATTCACAAGACTTGAATTTTCATGTATTATTGTCCTGGGTTCAGCAGCAGCAGTCTTTTTTTTTTTCTCCTTCTTAGTAGCTGGTGCAGCACTGTGATTTTGACTTTTGGCCTGGGAACAGCGCTGATAACACTGACGTTTTTAGTTACTGCTTAAATGTTTAGACTGACCAAGGACTTTGTGAGTCTCATGCTCTGCCAGGGAGGAGGGGAAATGGGGAGGAAGCAGAGACAGGACACCTGACCCAAAATAACCAAAGAGGTATTCCATACCACAGCACGTCATGCCCAGCATATAAACTGGGGGTAGTTACCCAGAAGGGCTAGGGCACTGCGGGGTTGGACTAGGTATCAGTCACTGCTTGGTCAGGCTGGGGGGGGCGAGTTATCAGTCAGAGGGTGGTGAGGTGTTGTATTCTCTTCCCTTGTTATTTCCTTTATCATTGTTATCATTGGTGGTAGCAGTAGTGATTTGTGTTATACCTTAGTTACTAAACTGTTCTTATCTCAACCTGTGGGAGTTGTATTCTTTTGATTCTCTTCCCCATCCCTCCGGGTGCAGGGGGAGGGCAAGAAGGGGGGGAGGGAGTGAACGAGCTGCATGGCTGGGTTTAAACCATGACAATTATTCTAAACAATTTTGATGTACTCAAGAGCAAAGGTCTCCGCTCTAAAGTATCCATACTTTCTGCCCCCAAATAATAAAAAAAAATAAAAAAAAAAAAGACATTTTTGGAGAAAACTGTTTTGGAAGATATAAAAAAAAAAATTAATCATAGTAGAAATTCCAGCATGGAACAGGAGATGCCTTTAATTTCATTCATTTTGGATTATGTTTGGCTTGACTCAACACCCAGGCGTGGGTGGCTGTTGCTTTATGCAGAGATGTACAGATATCTCTGCAGCACAAGACTGAAACCAACAGCAACAGGAAGCAGTCAGAAAAGACCTAATACTATAGCCACACCTAGTACTTAGTCATAGCTGGGCTTAGTTTAGCTGGACTAACCTGGAAGTAAGGTGGGGTGACACAGACCTGGGTAACAAACAAGGGAAAAGCAAGTGGAAAGGAGCTGGCAGTCCTTGTGAGGAGAAGGGGTGGCACTAGCTGCAGCTGACAGCACCCTACTCTGTTTCACCAGGGTAGAAGAGGCAAAGCTTGTCAAGCAGCGTACATTCTCAGGACAGCAGTCTGCTCATAAATTAAGATACTACTTCACATCTTAGTTTACTCTTTGGCTACCTGAGAAGTATAATGTGGCTCAGTTTGCTGATGATGCATATCAATTAACCACTAGAAAATATGCTGTTTATTCTTGGCACTACCATATGAAATCAAATATGCTACTGCTGTTTCTAAATCAAAAGACATTGTCTAGGTCTGCAACAAAGCAACAGTAATACATGCTATTTGTTATTATTAAGTACCTATAATTACATTGAACTCAACGTGCTACCCCTTTTTTAATTTAGAGGAAAAATACTACCAACATAGTTGTCACCAAACTGCAATAATCCTAGTGATATTCAAGGGCCGATGACCACTATGTGACCAATGTGAGCTAGTTATTATGTTTATTGGGTCTGCCCCAGTGTTTTGACAATTATATCAACATTTCCCAGAGTACAATGCCAAGATTAGCCACTTCCTTTCTTGGCACTGCTCAAGGTTTGTACAACTTACCTCAGCAGCAATGCTGCTGGAACATTTTACACCTAATCTTCTTTAAGAAGTGGTGTTTTCGAATCCACCATTTAAAGATGAGAAGACAAAATGAGACCTTTACATTCACCTGGTTGCAAAAATGCAGGTAGGAAATTCCACTCAGTAGAACAGTCCTACCAAAGGCTTCCTCCTTAATGGTTAATATCGAGGAAATCACGAATAAGAAAATCGGAAAGTTAAATGTTATGACAAATAACAAAATTAGCACCATGAAACAACCTGTTCTTCACATTTCCAGGTCTCTGGAAAAATCCCTGACTGTCAGATATCAAGTTGACCATTCTGTCCTCCAAGTAGCAAGTAGGAAGCTTAGCACAGTTATCAGGTTAAAGCCTTGTGTTCACAGACACATGTGTAGTAACTCAGACTCACATGTATTAATGCTGAATGAATCAAACTGCAGTTATTGTAGTCAAGCATAAGGGCAGCACCAAAACACACATCTAACACATGTAAATCTGATCCTGCACTCTCAGGCACCATAGAACCCAGCTCCGTAAGTGTGAATGTCCAGATCCTGATCCGAAATCTAACGTGTTAGTTCAAAACCAAACAGCTGGGCATGTCCTACACACAGTGCTCTCCAAAACAGTGCCACCAACTTGAATATTCCCACTTACTTACACAACTACAAGTCCATCCCTGTAAAGCCACATAGGGCACCACTCTCCAGTAATCGAGACGCCAGCTCCCTAAGCGTGAATGTCCAGATCCTGCTCCTAAGCCTCATGTGTTAGCACAGTAACAAATATCTGGACATGTTATAAACAGGGTGTCCTGCGGAACAGTGCCAACAACATGGATATCCTCACTTACTTCCGCACCTAAAATCCTGTAAAGCCTCACTGGACACCACATTCCGGTGACCAAGACACCAGCTCCCTAAGTGCCAATGTCCAGAACCTGCTCCTAAGCCTAATGTCTTAGGACAGAAACCAGGAGCTGGACATGTACTACACAGGGAGCCCTCAGCAACAGTGCCAACAGCATGGATATCCTCACTTACTTACACACCTAAACCTCAATCTCTGTAAAGCATTATTGGACGCCAGTATCTGGTGACCGAGACACCACTCCATAAATGTCTATGTCCAGGCCCTGCTCCTAAGCCTAATTAATGTCTTAGGGCAGAAACTAGGAGCTGGGCAGGTCCAACATATGGCGCCTTCCAGAACAGCCCCTCCAACATGAATATTCTCACTTACTTACGCATTTAAAACTCCATCTCTCTAAAGCCTCACTGGGCACCACTCTCTGGTGACCAAGACACCAGCTCCCTAAGGGCAAATGTCCAGACCCTGCTTCTGAGCCTAATGTCTTAGGACAGAAACCAGGACTTGGACATGGCCTTCACAGGGAGCCCTCTGGGACAGTGCCAACAACATGGATATCCTCACTTACTTACACACCTAAATCTCCATCTCCATAAAGCCTCACTGGACACCACTCTCCAGTGACCAAGACACGAGATCCCTAAATGCCAATGTCCAGACCCTCCTCCTAAGCCTAATGAGTTGGAACAGAAAGGTATAGCTGGGCATGTTCCACAAAGGGATCCCTCCAGAACACTGGTGCCAACATCTATATGCTCACTTACTTACCCACCTCACTCTCCATCTTTTAAAGCCTGAGTAGACACCGCTCTCTGGTGAGCGACACACCAGCTCCCTAAGTGGCAATGTCCAGACCCTGCTCCTAAGCCTAATGTGTTAGGCCAGAAAAAAGTAGCTGAGCACGTTCTATGCAGGAGAAAAGAAGGCTGCGTGGAGACCTCATAGCAGCCTTCCAGTACCTACAGGGGACCTATAAGGACACTGGAGATGGACTTCAGTAGGGACTGTATTGACAAGACAAGGGGTAATGGGTTAAAACTTAAACAGGGGAAGTTTAGACTGGATATAAGGAAGAAGTTCTTTACTGTGAGGGTGGTGAGGCGCTGAAATGGCTTGCCCAACGAAGCTGTGAATGCTCCATCCCTAGCAGTTTTCATGGCCAGGTTGAAGAGAGCCTTGGGTGACATGGTGTAGTGGGAGGTGTCCCTGCCCATGGCAGAGGGGTTGGAACTTGATGATCTTAAGTTCTTTTCCAACCCTAACTATTCTGTGATTCCATGATTCTATGCGTCTGCAGATTTAGACTAAAGAACCAGCATAGTTGAAAGCTATTCAAAATAGACAGCTAAGGAGGACAGTGCCAGGTAAGCAAGAAAAGATAGGCACAAATAAATTCTGAATGTAGAGGACCAAGCTGAACAAGCATCTTGAAACTCAAGAGGTTCATGCTACATCCTGAAATGAGTGCCTTGGAAAAAGACCACTTCAGATTGCTAGCAATTGCTACTGTATATCAGACTTCATTGCCACACGGCTGTCATTATGCAGGCTAGCATTAAAGGCTTATGGAATTTCACTTCAATGATGAGACCATACGGGTGTACATAAGAAACAATTTTTTAAATTGACTCTGAGCTGTTTTTAGTTAGGCTTTTCCACATACAGAAAATGTAATGAGGAGGAAAGAAAGACTGCCAATGACAGACTATTTGTCCTTGTTGGCTTACAAACTTGTGAACTTCTGACTTCTATGATGTCATCCAGAGAAAGCTTGACATGCTTGAGAGGTGGCCAATGCCAGCCTCATGAAGTTCAGCAAGGCCAAGTGCAAAGTCCTACACCTGGGTCGGAGCAACCCCAGGCACAGGTACAGGTTGGGCAGAGAAGTGATCCAGAGCAGTACTTCAGAGGACTTGGCAGTGAAGGAACTGGGGTTGTTCAGCCTAAAGGAAAGGAGACTGAGAGGAGATGGTTATGTCTTTCTCCAACTACATGAAAGGAATTTATAGCAAAATGGGAGTCAGTGTCTTCTCCCAAGTAACAAGTGATAGGACAAGACAAAAAGGCCTCAAGCTGCTCCAGGGGAAGTTTAGATTGGATATTAGGAAAAAATTCTTCACTGAAAGTGTGGTCAAGCATTGGAACAGGCTGCTCAGGGAAATGATGGAGTTACTGTCCCTGCAGTTATTTAAAAGACATGTAGATGTGCTGCTTAGGGACATGATTTTGTGGTGGACTTAACAGTGTTAGGTTAACAGTTAGACTTCATGATCTTAAATTTTTTTTCCAACCTAAACTATTATATAATTCTATGATTTTGTTCATATAAAGAATGAGCATACATTAATGAAATGCTGAAAAAGTCAGTTAAATATTGATTTATAATCCAAATCAGTATGTTAAATAAACAGTTCTAACATCTTCCTATTTTTTTATCAAACTAGTCAAGAGACACTGGAAATACCTCATTTGGAAAAGATTCATTCATAAAAGATCATCATTTTACATGATGTTTTTTAAAATTCCTGTCCTGAATGCAGTAGATCTATTACACAAATGTTTTGAAAAGACAGAGTAGAAAGGCATACATAATACTGCAGTAAAAACACTCCTATCATCTAAATATTTCAAGGTCTTCTTCATGGCTGCTTGGATTTTCACAGGACTGGTGAATCATACACATTCTCCAAAACCAAAAGCAAAAGATTTTCCCTCAGTTGTTAGGAGCTCGGACAAGTATACTTTAATCATAGCACCCTGTCTGTGACACACAGTAGAGCAAATCTGACCTTGTCCAATCAAGAAATGTTCATCATGACCAGCCAGGGTTCATGCTCGATAATATTTTACGTGAAAAATACAGTTGCCTAATGGAAGTATTTCAGATATGAAGGGAAAAGAAAGGCCTCAAAGTAGAGAATATAATTTTCATGGTTTCTTACTCCTCCAGATAAGCATCTTTTCTTTCAAGCAATAATGACTCAAGTCTTTTTAGTTAAAATAAAAGTAATGTTCTACGTATCACTTTAAATAAAAGATGGCAAAATATAACTTTTTCTCTATCCTCTGATACAGTTAGCTATAGGAACTGCAGTGCCTTTTGGAAATGTGATTACAGCAAAAGAGAGGATGATAATAGCACAGATACTGTTACCACAAAGCCACAAATAGTTTTAACATGATTGTTTCCATTTGCTGAATATGTAAGTCAATTAAATGGATGTTACTGAAGTCAGGGAATATTAATACTTGTCACGTTAGAATAGCACTGTACAGATAAAACCAGTATTATATGCTGCACGTGGCAACTAAACACCGCCTTATGGCAGCTCATATTGTTATATTCTCATTTAGATTATTTTTGGAGTTTACTAATTTGATCCAAATTTGGGTTTCTTTCTCCTTAAGTTATTGATGGCTCACTGCAAACCTTTGGAAGCCATGAACTTTCAATGCCTTTAAAAGGCATTGAACATGTTTCTTAATCCTTGGTTTTTATCATGATGACAGAAGTCTTCTATCAAGATACATCAATGAGAAAATAATTATTTAAAAGGTTACTTGCAGCTTCATAAATTTGAGAATTACTAATCTAGATTTTGCTTTGGAAACACCTCAGCAAGTCTAGAACTGAATCATCTCCTTTATTACAAAGAATAAACACCACCTCAAAAGGGCAGTGTTACAGAGCATATCTTCTGAGATTGTTAAAATAGCTTCCTGGGGACAGGCAAAATACCAGATCACACCATTTGCAGTGCTCGCTCTAGGAATAACAGGGGCATATCTCAGGTCATCCTAGTCAGGAAATAAAAGTGAAGAGAAAACCCAGTCCCAGGAATAGTGAGAAAGGTTGGATATCCTGCTGATATGTAGGGGGACTTGCCAAGATGCAGGTAAAATTCACATAATGTGCACATCTCAGTGCATCATTTTAACATTCTGGGTTCAGCTGAAAAATGGAAGAAGGAAAAAACAATCAATGGCTGCTTCAGTGAGCAATGGAAAAGGGTGGAAAAAGTTGCCATTATCAACTATGCATGGCACCCATGATACCACCTGGGAGAGGAGAATCCAACAATTATATATGCAGCAGGAAGAAATCCTGACACACTTTAGCACCAAGATAAAGCAGTCACCTCAACTGATACATGTAGATTTTTGCAAATTGATTTATCCCATAAATTACTCCAGAATTGTTAACAAATTAATCTTTCCAACAATGTAGTTATCATCTTTGCCTTTGTTAAATAAACACTATATTCACACCTAACAAGGGAATTCGCATTTTAGATCTTAGAGGAGATTTAATATATTCATGTTATTAATGATTTATAACATTTTCCCTCAGATTTCACTCATTCTGCTGCTGAAGAATCGTTTTTTACATTAGATCTTCTGTGACAAATGTCTATGCATAATATTCATGCAGGGACTGCCATCAGCATTCTGAGAAAATATTTTAAATATTTAAGAGAGCATTATTAATGCAGCAAAGCATATCATAGCAATGAATGAAGAATCACAGCATTGGAACCAAAGTCTATTTTTTCATTATAACAAAGAAATTTCTATTTGGACAGGGCTTTGAGCAACCTGGAGTGGAAGGTGTCCCTGCCTATGGCAGGAGGGTTGGAACTAGATGATCTTTAAGGTCCTTTAAAGACCTTTAAACCATCTAACCCAAACTATTCTACGATTCTGTGAAATTCTAGTCCACTCATTCCTGATATTTTCTGATGCTCTAGACACAATTTTATAGAAGTCCTTACATACCATTGGAATCATAAAAGACTGAAATTCTTACACAGTTCTGGCTTGAGTCTCTTTAGACTTTCCTGAGGAAATGGAAAAATAGAAAGAGTAAAATTCCCCAGTTTTTTTGCACAGTACAGTAGGACTTTGGAAACTTAGTTTAAGAACCTGTTCTACTTATCTGTTACATGGTCATGAGCATGTCAGGTAGCTTCCATGTGCCAAATTTGTCCAAATTTGTTATTCTGATGAGTTTAAAAGCTATGAAAATGGTGGCTACATAAATAATACCAGAAGGAAGGTAAGTACTCTCCAAGGAAGGTATGAGTACCAAATTAAAACCAGAATCCCCATTCAAGGTCTTTTACGAAAAACCCACAAAAAATCCCTAGACATCACTCCTTTTTAAGATCTTCTGAAACAAAATACTGTAGAAAATTTAGTATGCAAAATAACTGCTTTAACTAGTAGTAACTTTAGCCTAGAATAATAGCTCATATTGTAGGGTTAATTAAGAGGTAAGCATCAGCACCTTCTGAATCGTGAACCTTTTTCTTGCTGTGTTTGGATGCAAATTAAATATAGCATAATCACATATAGAAGTACTGGAGAAAGGTACTGATATTTGAGCTTCCAAAGGACAACATTCCACCTGACTGTATTGCCAGAGTGGGGTTAATATTCACCTACCAATCGATACGAAGCACTTTACAGCACTGCTGCTGATTTCATTCTTCTTCCTG